CGTAGATGGGCGGGTTTTCGGGGGATGGGGATGCCGAGGACCATCCCCCCCCCCGCCCCGTGCCCCTCTACTGGGGCCAGAACTGCTCTTTCTGGTTCTGTCCTTCAGGGCCCACCTGCCCCAAGAGCACCACCACCACCTCCCCCCTCCCCCCGGCCTCGTCTGCGAGTCCTCCAAACACACTTGCCTGGAGGTCACCTCCTCAACCCCTAAAGCTCTGGAGCCCCTCTTGCGGGCGCCACGCTCGAGGTTCTGCGACCATGGGACTTGTCCAGCGACACCAGGTTCGGTGCAGGATGGCGCACACATGTTCCGAGGGACCCAGCAGCGAGAGAGTGAACGAACTAAACGTGACGGTATACCCACTAGCGCCCATTTTGGGGTCTGAGCAACCGTGAAAACCCCACAGTCTCGTGCAAAGGAGATCTCATTGGGTTGCAAGACAGTAAGTAGTGGCTTGAAAAATACGATTTACCCTAGGAGCTAAATCAATCTGAGACTCTTGCCTCAGAGCAGGACAGCTCCTGGCTGCCAAATTTCTGTCATTATTCGGCAGTGCTTATCTCTGAGAACAAGTCTCGGGCACTTAGGAATACAAACAAGTCCCGCCAAGACGTGCTCTGACTGGTGGCCACCTCTAATCAGCCCTCCCCGTGGCTGCAGCCCTACGTTTGCAAGTACCTTTTATAGCAGGCGCAGGCAGAGTGATTCACCGATGCAGGGCCACCAGCGCACTGGGCCGACTGCGTCCTTGCGGCTGTGGGCTGGGCTCCTGGACCACGAGCAGGACGCTGCAGGCCATCTCGGGAGGGCTGCTTCTCTCCCCGGCGCTGGTTCGAGCCCACGCTGGGCTATAGCTGGGTGCCACGTCCTCAGGATGTTGGCCTCAGGGGCAAGCAGGGCCCAACAAATGCCATCAGGCTTCACAGCCTGCGCGGACCGGACCACCGGTGTGCACAGCCATAATCCTCCTCCCCCAAACATCTCGTTGCAGAACCTTTGAGGGTCCACTCACCCGCGCAGCAGTGGAAGGAAGTCCTCTGCTCCCCAGCTGCGGCGTCTGACAGGGGGCCCAGCGTGCAGGTCGAGGTGGACAGTGGAGCTGAGGCGTGAGAGCTGGGACACCCCTGTTCCAGAGAAGCGGTCTCCCGGCTAGGTAGCCCAGAAGCTCCGATTACCTTGAATGTAAGGCCATCAAAAAGTTTCTGTTGGTCCTTGGCTCCTGAAAAAGGTCTCAACCCAGTGGCCACGGAACCAGATCACAAAGAGCGCTGGGCTGTGGAGGTGTGCTCAGGGGACCTGCTGCTGCCCTGAACCTCTCTCTTCTAGTCTCAATCCTGAAAAGCCCCACCCTGATCACTCAGAACCAGATCACAGCTGCCTGTGGGACAGTCTGGAATGAGCCCAAACACCCCTGCCTCAGGGTTGGGGAGAGGAAGGCAACCAGATGACCCAGACGTAGGCAGGAGATCAAATGGTTTTATTTAGAGGCTGTTGGTCATGTGACGGAAAGGCATATACGGTACAGAATCACAGAGGTTTAGTTCATTATACAGTACAAATCATTAAGTCTTTACAATTCATTACAGAGTCTTTGGATTTTTCTTAACTCCCATTTCATGTGTAGCAAATCAATAGTCTCCCAAACAAAATCACTCCTTTATGTGAACCCGTCATATTTACAGAACTCCACGCACAGAGATGCTCCAAGACTCTCCCAACACGATTAGTCAGCGGCACGCGGAAGGCATGACGGATTCCTCCGAGAGAAGGGGGCGCATGGGGACAGTGGGGACGGTGCAGTCAAGGGTCTCAGGCTGCACAACCCATCCCGGAGAGATGTCTGTCCATATGAGGAGCGACAGGCAGACCGACAGGGCGGTGATCCTGGGAGCTGGCAGCATGTGAGAGCAGGCAGGCCTCGGGCAAGTGGCTCATTGTAGCCGAGAAAATATGTACCCGTGGCCTCCTGGTCAGTTTCACAGACAGGACACTTTAATCCAAGAGAAGGAAGTAACGGGGACAGCGGGAGGGGGGATGAGGGTCTGAACACCTCCTAGGCCTTCCCGCTCTGCAAGGGGCCCGCTCACAGCTCACCAAGCACAGGGGCCTGACCCGCTGGCCGGCCACCCGCACCACCCCCCGCAGTCCTCTGGGGTCCAGGCTGGGTGACCGTGTGTGTACAGAGCAGGAGGCAGAGGCCAGGAGGGCTCCCGCCCGACCTTGACCTGTCCTCGTGCGGCTGGGAGCCACAGACGGACGGTCCCTCCCCAGCGCCACGCAGCTGCCGCTCCTGCTGTCTTACTAAATCCCAGAGCCTGACCTGCTAAGAACCGCATCAGGGATCCTAATGCTGACATTTATTTAAAATTAGGTCTGTGTGTTAATAAGGCGAGGACAGAAGACGCAGGGAAGGGGGAGTCCCTCCCTCCCCACTCCGTCCAATAACTCAGGGTGCGGGGACTGCCCGGCTCCTGGCTTTAGGGACCGCAGCTCTTCCATTTACAAGCTAACGGGAGTCTGCGCCAAGAAGCAGGGCGGGCTTCCTTCACCACCTGGGAGCAGGACGGTCCCCGCCCCCCGCCCCGAGCCGCCCAGGAAGCTGGAGGCAGTAAGAGAGAGGCCGAGAGCGTCCCCGGAGCCCCGCTCCATCCACCAATACAGCGGCCCAAAGGGATGTGCGGGTCATGGAGCCAGAGGGCGGGGGTCGGGACTGCTGGCCCTGTACCCCTGCGAGGACCCAGCATGGCCCCCACGCCCTGCTTTGCTCTTCCAGGGGCCGCCTCACTGCCCTCGAGGGTCCCGGGCCAACCAGGGCCCAGAGCTGGGTCAGGAGAGCCAGGCCAGCAGCTGCCTTCTGCCGGCAGTGCTGACAGATGAGGATGCCCAGGGCAGCCCGCGTGTTGCTCTCTGGCCGCGGAAACAGCTCACCAGGAACGCCGATGGGCCGACGTGGCCTCTCTAACGCCACCAGCACAGGCCCAAACCCGATTCATTCTGAGAAAACCCCAGGCAAGCTGGGAGCTACAGACTCTAGAGCAGCGACAGTGCCCTCCTCCCTGGAGAAAGCACCACCTCTGCACACAACGGGCTCTGGCCACGGCCCCCAGTCCCGGCAGCACAAAGTCAAGGGGTCTAAGGAAACGCTGCTTCCCTGGGGGCAGAGATGCTGGGCAGGGCTGGTGGGACACTCTCAGGCAGGCGGAACTGGGGACATTTGAAAAGCAGGCCCCGAGAGGAGGCGTAGGGGAGGCCGGGAGAAGGGGAAGGGCGCCTGAGGCCTCTCCAGACAACAGGGCTCCGCCCGGCCCGTGAGCTCCTGCCAAAAACCTGCTCAGGGCAGTGACTGGGCTGTCATCTCTTCCACTTCAACTCAAACGACAACGAAAAGAGCCCGACCCTTCACATCCCCCGACCGACCGTCCCAAGCCCGTTCTGCGAGGTTGCGACACCTGTCACAGGGCAGATGAGCCCCAGCAAGTACTTGGCTCCGTAAATGAGGGTCACACCCAAGCCACCTTCCATTTCTATGGCGTCTTCTCTCCAGTGCCCCGGGTGCGGACTTTCTGCCCCACCAGGCAGGTCACCTGAGGCTCTGGGAGCGAGAGCCGCCCTCCCAGGGAGCGGGTGGTGCTAGCATCCACGGAGGAGAAACTCGCACTGAAAACAGGCCTGAAGGAGAGCTTCCGTGCTGGCAAGGAGCTTACACAGAAGAGCTGGCACAGAGTTGGGAGCGCTTAATTCAGGGACACGCCCGGCAGGTGTTCCTCGGAATGCCAGCTGAGGACAGGAAGGAGTACAAGTGGTGGCCCGCCACAGACCTGGGGCACCAGGTCACTGGGCCACCACCCTGGTAATACCAAAGGCACCGGTGGAAAAGGGGCTCTGGACCAGGGCTGTCCCAGTGCGGCCAGGCGATGCTCTGGGATGATTCACGCCGTCCCCAGCGCCATCCGGGCCAGCCTGGCCTGTGGCTCTGCGAGGCTCCCAGGGATAAACCCCGCCGGCAGCGGGGTGGGCAGCTCTCCCTCCGCCTGCCGGGCTGCAGCCCCAAGCTGGGCAGGCATCAGGGCACAGAACCGCCACGGAGCTAAGCTGGTCTAAGGACCCTCCCAGAACCAAAACCACACCAAGGCCACGAAGCCTCTGACCGACTTTGTCACTGGCCTCAGAAGCACAACAAAATTCTCCAGGTTTTCACTGTCAGCTTAGAGTAAGGCCACTTGTGTATCTGCGATAAAGAACACAAGGAGGGGCAGCGTCCTCCGGGAACCCCCACCAGAGGCAGGAGGCTGGCAGCTCCCGAGTGGCCACAGAGGCGGGCAGCGCAAGGCAGGCCCTGGGCACTCACACCGGGAGAATGATTGTGGCTCGCGAACAATTTCGTATTTTGAAAAAATAAATATAATAAATATATGCCAAGAACTCTGTTAAGGGAATAAATGGCAAAGAGAAAAAACTTTCTGGGTATAAAGACCCTAAAACACCCACAAAGAAACCTCTAAGAAACCCCGTGGAAAGGAAGAGGGAAAGGCGGGAGGGGCAGGCCCAGGGCCCCAGGCACCTGAGGTGGGGAGAGGCGCTGGGAGCTACGGGGGTGTGGGGCGCCGCCTCCGCGGGAGGGAAAGGCACGAGTAACGGTTATGCTTTAAATTAAGAGGTTAACTGCGTCACCAGCACAGAAAAAAGAGCAACATCGGCCGCAGTCGCGGCGGCCCCAGGCCCAGGAAGACGGCGGAACCCTGCTCTCCACAATCCGGGACCACGCTGGGCTCCTAGAACCTTCCACCCGCGGCCCAGCTGCGACGCCGCCAAACTCTCTGGGGAGAGGGAGAAACAGGGAGAGGTCACCAGCCCCGCGACGTGCAGAAAGCGTTCCCGGCCTGTCCCCACGGAGAGAGGCTAGAGGGCCCGCCCGGGGCTGTCCCCGCAAAGGCTCGGAGGGGCCGCGCGCCCCCTGTCCGTCGCCCAGGAAGGACGGGAGGCGGCCACCCCGCCGCTCAGCTGGCCCAGGACTTGCGGTTCTCCGGGTTCCCGGGGGCGCGCTCGGCCCGCCCCGCCGAGCCCTCGGCCTTGGCCAGCGCCGCCGTCAGCGAGGCCAGGTTGGTGGCGGAGCCAGAGAGCGCGCCGCTTCTGCGGGTCTCGGGGAAGCCTTGCGGCCGGAGCCCCGCGCTGCGCCGCCGCCCCACGCACGCCGCCCTGCGCACGCGGCCCGGCCTCACCAGCAGCCCGTAGCCGGGGTTGCACTTGAAGTACTGCTTCCCGCCGATGGAGCCATCGTTCTTACCTGCGGGAAGGAAGAAAGGAAGGAAGACGTGGAGGTGGCTCCCCGGCCCGCGCACCGCGCAGCCAGTCCTCGTTGAAGGAGCGGGGCCGGGGCAGTGCCTCCCGAGCAGCAGAGGTGGTCACTGCGGACAGATCCCGGTGGCCTCCGGCACGGCCAGGGCCTGTCACTTCTGACGCCCACGTGCCACCAAGGCAGAGCCCGCCCCGCCCTCGGCACCAACCGCTGTCAGTCTGGACAGTCAAGATGCAAACCTAGGATGGATGTTGTGAGTGGAACGATTATTTTCCCTAAATCTATTAGATGGAAACTGGCAAATTACCAAACTGTAGCTAGTGAGATGTCACGCCTGGTGTGTCAAGATGGGGAGATGTCTCCTTGGTAAAAGCAAACAAAAAATGCTTTAAGAAGGTCAGCAGCACTGGAGCGGGGGGGGGGATCCATTCATGGAGGGGGAGAGAAGAGACTATAAGGGGGCGGGGGGGAGCTGATCCCTCAGTGTCCGCAGCCCATGGTGATGGGTTGCTGGGAAACGTGATCTCTGCAGCAAAGCACTCATGAACTGTCCACACTCACTGCCTGCACCCCGCAGCCTGCCTCCTCTCTTCCTCCCTCTCAGACAGGCCCACCCTCCACCAGCTCCTCTCAAGGTCAGCAGAAGTCACTCGGTCCGCCTCTCGATGTATCCCACAGGTGACCTCTCACTCTCCCTTCCTGCCTCCCCCTCGAAGGCGGGGGCGTGTGTGTGGCCCTACCCTGTCCCTTGGGGGCTCGCCCACCCAGCCTGCCCTCCGAGAACCCTGCTGCCTCTTAGCTGCGTGTCCAGCCCGAGGTGGCCCTCTGACTGCTCTTCTCTACTGGGCATCCACCCCGCACGCCCAGTGCCCCTCCCGCCAGAACTCTGGCTCCTCGGGAGCACGCACTCTCCCTGCTCTCCTCATAGCACTCACTACTACCACATTTTGTTTGTTTACTTGGCAATTCTCTTCCCTCTAAAACGTAAGTCCAGGGAAACCAGAACTTTGTTTTGCTCACCAAGGTGTCCTCAAAATCCAGGACAGGGACTGGAACGCGGTAGGTGCTTAGTATTTATTTGCTGGATGAATTCGTCTGTTCACTAATCCCCCTTTAATTCTTGAGCTCAATTACAGATAGAAACGTCTTTCCCAATTCTCCTTTGCATTTCAGCAGAAATGGAATTTAAATAATATTCCAGCCTGTGCTGCACTCGTCTTCTACCTCTTCCATTTTATGACATTCTTGGCCAAAATTATTTTTAAAGACAGTGATTTCACAGCTGAGCCTAGGGGCTGAGAGACAGTCACTGTGGCCTGGGGTTCACTGAGGCCCCTCCCGCAACCCTCACTCTGCTGGCCCAAAGGACAGCTCCTCACTGGCGACATCCAGCAGGCCACACAAGCTCTGCTAAAACCCATCTCCACAGCCTCCAAGCCTCAGCTCAGGGAGTGGCTGCCCCACCCTGGGACACGCTGGTGGGAGGGAGAAAGGCAATCAGGCCGGCCGATCTCAGCGTGCTAGACACAGAGTGAACTCCCCGCCATATCTCCTCAAGAGAAATGAGTGTGTCCACGCAAAAACTTAACACACGAGTGTTCCCCGCAGCCTTACAACGGCCAAAAAGTGGAAGCAACCCAAACGTCCATCAACTGACAAGTGGATGAACAACGAACGCGTGGGGCATCCCTACAGTGGGACAGTATCGGCCACAAAAAGGAATGAAGTGCTGACACAGACCATAACTGGGTAAGCCCGGGAAACTCAGGTAAGCCAGTCATAAAAGGCCGGGTATTTATGGCTCCATTTATGTGAAAGTCCAGATTAGGACCTTTTATATCAATTTAGTCAAAAAAGTAGATTAATGGTTACCTGGGGCTTGTGGGGGGGGGTAGTGTCTTGCTAACTGACATGCGGCTTCTTTTTGGGGTGATAAACCCATTCTAAAATTAGGGTGTACAACTCTGGAAATATACTAAGAACCACTGAATTGTACACTTTAAACAGGTGGATTTTTTGGTAGGTAAATTGCATCACAATAAAGCTGTTTAAATAAAAAAAGAATCTGCAGGCCATTTGCTACAACATGGATGAACCTAGAGGGAATTACGCTAAGTGAAGTAAGTCAGAGAAAAACAAATAATGTATGTTATCACTTACATGTGGAATCTAAAAAACAAAGCAAATGAATGAATATAACAAAACAGAAGCAGACTCACAAATATAGAGAACAAACTAATGGTTACCAGTCGGAGAGAGAGAAAGCAGGAGGAGCAAGACAGAGGTAGGGGGTTAGGTAGGGGGTTAAGAGGTGCAGACCACTATGTATAAAATAAATAGGCTACAAGGACATATTATACGGCACAGGGAATATAGCCAGTGTTTTACAATAACTTTAAATGGAGTGCAATCTATATAAATTTTGAATCACTATGCCATACACTGGAAGCTAATACTGTAAATCAACTATATCTCAATTAAAAAAAAAAAAACTGGAGGGCTTCCCTGGTGGCGCAGTGGTTGAGAGTCCGCCTGCTGATGCAGGGGACACAGGTTCGTGCCCTGGTCCGGGAGGATCCCACATGCTGCGGAGCGGCTGGGCCCATGAGCCATGGCCGCTGAGCCTGTGCTCTGCAGCAGGAGAGGCCACAACAGTGAGAGGCCCGCGTACCGCAAAAAAATAAAAGAGAAAAATTGGGGACTTCCCTGGTGGTGCAGTGGTTAAGAATCCGCCTGCCAATGCAGGGGACACGGGTTCCAGTCCTGGTCCGGGAAGATCCCACATGCCGCGAAGCAACTAAGCCCGTGCGCCACAACTACTGAGCCTGAGCTCTAGAGCCCGCAAGCCACAACTACTGAGCCCCACACACTGTAACTACTGAAGCCCATGCGCCTAGAGCCCGTGCTCCGCAACAAGAGAAGCCACCGCAATCAGAAGCCTGCACACAACAACGAAAAGTAGCCCCCACTCGCCACAACTAGAGAAAGGCCGTGCGCAGCAACGAAGACCGGACGTGTTCAAAAATAAATAAAAATGAATGAATGAATGGCACGACAAAGTACATGTTTCCTTAAGTCCTGCCCTCAGTTTTTCTGAAATGATGATCTCTTGGCTTGGAGGTAGGCCATTCTATAAGGAGACTTAAGAGACTGGTGAGCCCACGAGGCTCTTCGATCACCTCACCTTCTGTCCTCCCCCTGGGGGCCCAGGAGCCTTGGGGTGTCTTAGGAACACCTGAGGCATCTGAAGCTCCACATGGGCATTCGTTTTTGTAACCTGAGCAAGCACAGCAGACAGAGCTGCTGTGACAATTGAAATGCAGACGCTTCTGTGACTAAAAAAGAAAAATCAGGATTTAAATTCACCAAATTAAGAGTAGCTTTCAATTAAGGTCTTTGGTTTCTGAGAAATTTCTGCAGGTTAAAAAAAGAGAATCTGACTCTGAAAACGCTTAGGAAACTCTTATCTAGACAAAATTCCTCATTTTGTAAAGTGGCGACCCAGGGGCTCAGAGACGTGAACGATGTGCCCAAGGGCACACAGCAGGTGCTGGGCAGTGCGGGGCCGGCCCTTTTCTGCCGGACCACGGGGTGCACAGTGAGTTGCCCCGGGACCCGGAACCTGTCCCAAAGCAGCAGCACTGACCTGAAGGTAAGTCTAGCTCCACTCCGACCCATGTGCCCTCCTGGAAGTCAGTGGGCCCCACGTATCTCACGATGCCCGTCTTGGTGGTGCCCACGGTCACATATTCTCCCTCTCTGAGCCACTCAGGGACCTCACTGGCTTCTTCAGAATCCGAGGAAACTTCCAGCTTTCCCGGGGCCTCTGCCTCAGCGCTGCCGTCGCCCGGGCCCCCTGAGGCCAGCGGGTCCTCCTCGCTCCCCGAGGGGCCGCCGGGATCCCCGCCAAGCATGCGTGTGAATGACTTCAGCTCCGAGGTCCGCACCTTCTGGATCCTGAAGGGAGGGGCCGGAGCGGGCGGCTGGCACCGAGGGTCAGCAGGCGCCGGCGGCCTGGAGACGTCGGGCCCTGGGCCAACAGCCGGCTTCACCTGGGGCTGGGGGCTCTTCGGCTTCTGGGGGGCGGCGGCAGGGTCACTCCTGCCCCGCCGGTCAGGCGCAGGGGGGCCTGCCGCCTCGTCCCGCTTCACCGCTGCAGCCCCGACGGGGGCCGCGGCAGTGCCGTCTCCCTGCGCCATTCGCTCCGCCGGGCCGGGAGGGGCGCGGGACGTGACGGGCGCGGCCGGGGACTCGGGCTCGGGGGTGGCCGGGCTGGGGCCAGGAGAGGGCGACGCCGCGGTATCCAGGCTGGGGCCGCAGGCGTCCGACAGGGTGGCAGTGGAAACACTGTGCGAGAAGTAGCCGCTGGACGCCTCGCTCAGGGGGCTGGGCGGCCCATCCGCGCCCTCGGGGGCCGGGGAGGCGGGCGCGGGTCTCGGGGGCCCGTCGTAGGTCTTGGGCGAGGGGGCGGCCGGCAAGGCCACGGGCACGTCGGAGGCCACGCGCAGCCCCGCGCTCTCTCGCTGAGCCTGGAGCAGGGAGGGGAGAATTCACAGTTAGGCGTCCGCTCCCCAAAGCCTGGAGACCAATGCTGTTGTCAGCGGGGACATGACAGCTCCAACAGTGGGACAAGCGCAGCCATGCAGCAGGGCGGACCCGGTTCCCACCTCAGCTCCCCTGTTCTGCTGTGCGACCTCCACGAACCAGATACGCAGGCCGACTAGGCTCCACGCTGGCGCTGCCCCTGCTGCGACTGAGGGCTAAGCAAGATGGCCACGGGTGCCCCTCATCGCCTCTCCTTTCCGTAAACTGCAGATCTTAACAGCTGCCTGTGATGGCATGATTCCTAGTAAGAGTTCCATATTTGGTCCTAGTCTTGTTTTCGGACACAGAACTCCCAAAACCCTTGGGGTTTCCTAAGTGGCAATAACAATAAGGGCTTCTTGATACTTACAACGAGGCCCTTTCAACCACATCTGAGTTTGTTAAGGGGGTGACTTTTGGAAAGCCCCCAAGGAAGGGGGCTGGTTGCCAGGGGGAATAACCATGTGACTAGAGGATTCGAACTTTCCATCCCACCCCTGACCTCTGGGCAGCGACTGAAGGCTGAATCGATCACCAATGGCCAATGATTGAATCAACCATGCCTACACAATGAGGCCTCTGTAAAAACCCAAAAGGACAGGGTTTGGAGAGCTTCTGGGTTGGTGAAAGCGTGGCGATCTGGGGAGGGCGCTGTGCCCAGGGAGCGTGGAAGCTCCCCACCCTTCCCCTACTTATCTCTCCCGGCTGGCTGTTCCTGTGTTACATCCTTTTATAATAAACGGATAATCTAGTAAGTAAAATGTTTCTCCGAGTTCTGTGAGTCACTCTAGCAAATTCATTCAACCTGAGGAAGGGGTCATGGGACCCGCTGATCTGGAGCACACTGGACTTGGCATCTGAAGTGGGAACAGTCTTGTGGGGCTGAGCCCTCAACCTGTGGCATCTGACACTGTCTCCAAGTAGATGGGGTCAGAAGCCGAGTTAACTGTAGGACACACAGCTGGTGTCCAAGAATCGCTTGGTGGTGGGAACAACGCGTACGGGGCGGCCACCGCGGCGACGCGGTACAAGGCAGGCAGACCAGGCCCTCACACAGAGCGTGGCACACAGCAGGCGCACACCTCTCAGCGCCGCCCACTTCCCTTCACTCAGGCTCAGAACTCTTGCCCCCATGTGAACGGATCCCCCTGCCCAACACCAACTCCACGGGGAGACTGACAGCATCGCCGGAGGCCAGAAGAGCACTTTCCGAACTCCCGCAAAACTGAAATGATCGTCTCACTGGAGGATCTGGAAGTGCCAGGGCACAGCTCCACCAGCTCGGGCAGGAAGCAACAACCCGGGGGCCTGCGGGCGGGGAGGCAGGGGGAAGAGGAGGAACAGAGGCTGCCTGAAGGCTGTGCCCTTCCTCTGAGAGGCCGTCTTTCAAGCTGCTGCTCAAGGCTGGTCCCATGTCACAGATGGTCGCTCTGGTCCCGGGAGACTCAGGCCGAGGAGCAGCCAGCCCGGCGAGCAGGGTCTGAGCGAGGCCAGAGCTATGCTGGCCTCTCCGCCTCACGTCACCGGGTCCGAGGGAGCCTGCAGAGACGCGCAGAGCCCCATCTCCTGGGGAAGACGACAGTCGCGGCTCCGCCGAGCTCTGCGGTTTCTGGCGCGCTCTAAGGTGTCTTGCCTTGATAACTTAAGCCATTGGGAGAAGGTGGTGGATTATCTTTCTATTCCCAGTGCACAATGATAGGGAACGGGAGACAGAGTGGGGAGTGGGTTGGGGGGCGAGAGGGGTGCTGCTCAGAAAAAGAAATGTGTTTTCAATATTTACGGAAAGATTATTCATATTACAAGAATGGCCATTTTCCATTTGAAATACAGGATTTATTTGAACTGGGAAACAGCTGAGATCTATAAGTCTCTTACAGTTACTTGGCTTAACTCAGCAATTTGATAAATCGTGCATTTTCACGTGAATTGTCATTTATATTCCTGTCTCCAGAGGCCCTCCTTCCCCCACAAGGCACACTCTCAGGGTACAAAATTAACAGCACCTCTTGAGATTAACAACCCATTTTTGTGATGGATCTCTGGGCTGCAAAATTTACTAAATCCAATAGATCAATAACTGTCACCAGCATAAATACTCTAAAAGATTAGGCAATCCTTCAATCATTTTTCTTTTGCAACTTGTACATATTTTATTTACTCTTTTTTATTTTAGTTTTAATATCACTGACTGGGCAGGGAAGAATACGCAAACAAAATTACAACAGTCTAGAATCTGAACAATAACTATGGCCCTTAAATAGCCTGTGTTCCCCACTCTCCCAGGGTCCAACCCACCATTGCCGGATCTGCTGTCTGCTAAGGGCAGCTGGGCCCGTCCGGAGGGGGACAGTCCTGCAACAGTGCCCTGGAGCTCCTTGCTGTTCCATCAGCGCTACTGGATCCTCTGATGTGGGCCAGAAAGTACTCGCTTTACAACACGGCCCAGACAGGCTAAAGGATTCACCCAAAGGCTCCAGTAAGTGAAAAGCCAGGGATCAGAGGTCACATCCACAGCGACAAGAAAAAGGTGATGGGAGGCGGCAAAAGGCGAGCCCAGATAACCCCCGTTCTTTCCAGCTGACCGAG